TCCACTACACCCCTTAGTCACCACAGCACCACATCAGCACCCACTGACCATCACACCTCTACTGCACCCCTTAGTCATCACAGTACCACATCTGCACCCACTGACCATCACACCTCCACTACACCCACTAGTCACCACAGAACCACAGCTACAAAAAACACTGGAACCACTATAGCAACAACTGGTTACCCCAAAAGTATTTCTTCAACCTTTCACCAAAAACCCACCCCCACACCCAACAATTACCACAGCTCCATATCACAACCCATTACTATCAGCCAAAGTACTTCTCAACTCCCAGTTGTCATTTATGAGAGTGCCATGTTTTTCCTCTCATTCCACATCCTCAACAAGAATTTTAACTCTTCCCTGGAAAATCCCAGTTCTTCCTACTATCAAGACTTGAAGAATTCTGTTAATGATCTGGTAAGTACCATCCTCTCCCCTATAGGTTGGGAAGACTGTTCCCCTAACCCCCAAATGGTCATTTATTCCTCTGGCATTCTGGTTATACTTCTTCCTTCCTCTCTTTCCCCAGTTGCAGCAGACCTACAAAAACAATGCATTTGTGACTTTTTACCTGCTCCAATTCAGGTACCAATCTGCAGGTGGTATTGGGGGGGGGGTCACCAGCTTGGATATGGGAAAGAGTACCAATTCCAGGAGGAGGGAAAAGTATTCTGAACCAGGAGCTGGAACCTACAGGACTTAGGTGCCAATCTCCCTGTGCCCAGAAAGGGCTCTGTGATTACAGACTGTATCTTGGTCTTCCGAGAGGGCAGCATCACAACCAGTGAAGTACAGAATCTGTTTGCTGAAAATGCAAAAGAAAGTTCCATGTACAACCTGCATATTTCACCATCGGATATAACTGGTAAGGTCCCGCCACCCCTCCACCCCTCTGCCAGGGTCATACTCAGGCACTCTCTGGGAATTTGGAGCATTCCCTCAGAAAGTCTGCCCCAGAGCCAGGAGTCCATATTTCCAGATTTTTTTAACCCACACTCATGGGTTTCCTTGGACCTAAGTACACAGTCTCCCAGGCACACATTCCCCGTTTGTGGGAGGGGAGCAGGGGTCTTAAAGAAGATTGGGACAAGGCATCCTGGGAGATTCCTCTCTCTTCTAGTCCGTGAGTGGAATTCTAAAGCCTCATCTACTGATTCTGCTGTGCCCGGCTATGCCATTGCTTTGCTTGTGATAGTCTGTATCCTGCTCGCTTTGGCAATTTTCCACCTTGCTGCCCTGGTAAGTGCTTTGCCCAGCCCAGATATTTGGGTCTTCCCCCCATCTTGATTTCCTAACTATTACCCATTGTGCCCCTTTGCCTTCATCTCCACCACTCCCAGGGGCTATCTCAGTTCCGTCGGAAACATTGTGGACAGTTGGACATCTTCCCATCCCAAGATTCTTACCATCCCATGAATGAGTATCCCCCTTATCATACCCATGGACGATATGTGCCCCCAAGCAACACGAAGCGCAGCCCCTATGAAGAGGTGAGGCTATGCCTAGTGGGCACTGGGAAGGCAAGTGTGGCTGGGACCTAAGAAAGGATAAAAGGGACACCGGAAATATTCAGTGTAGAGTGGGCACGGAAGAGCACAGACATCATAATGTACTGAAAGGATCTGAAGGGTTTCAAAGAGATATGTAGAGGAGTGGACACTGTGTAGGACACAGGAGCACAGACACTGATGGGTACAGAGTGCTGGAAGGGTGGTGCTGAGGAACTGAAAAGGGGCCTAGGTGGCCTGGGGGTAGATGGTACAGGAAGCATGGAGGAAGAGAATTCAGGGAGCCAGTGACCACCCCCATTCCCCTTCATTCCCTCGGGATGGTGCCAGGGACACTGAGTGCCCATGGTGCCTGCACCAGCACTTTCACAGCTCAGTAGAATTGGCGCCAATATAAGCAACTGCCTGGGTGCCTAGAGGGCAGAGTGGGTGGTGCCTGGTGCCTGGGGGGAAGGTACGAGTCCCTCTAGGGCTACTGGGATGGTACTGGGAATAGTGAATTGGCAAATTCTTAGGGGACAGGGGCAAACATTTTGTTTTTATTTTTATTTTTATTTTTTAGTTTGTTTTTGGCGGAAAGGCAGTAAAACCAGAGAGGGGTTAGATGGAGGTGTGGAGGGCAATTCCCAGAAGGCCCAGAGGCAGATTTTCCCCATTCCCCCCCCCTTCCCTTCCCTCCATTGGGCTCCAGCCACTGGGTAAATAATTACCACTCTCTCTACCTTGGGCTAAAACTTTTGGTGGGGGAAGGGAGAATCTTTCCTTCTCCCCTCCTAGTTATGTGCCCCACTCCCTGACTTCCAGCTCTTTGTCCTGTCCCCCTCTTTGGGGTGGAGAGAATTAAGGGAGCTAGAGATAAGAAGGTGGGGGTGGGAAAACTAAGGCTAGGAGCTAAGGAAGGGGCTGATCAGAGGAAAGGGGGAGGGAAAGACACTGTTTACAGTCGCATGGGGTTGTTGCTGGGCCCCGGGCAGGTGCTTCTTCTGTGTTAACCCTGTAGGGAAGTGGGGAGGGGACCCTACTGCCCTCATCCCAGAACTTCACCACCAAGGGGGATCCAGGGGGCATTATGTCCTTCCCCAACACCTCTTCTCTGTGCCCCCTAAAAATTTTAAAACACCCATATTCCTCCCCCTTCCCAGATCTCTCCAGGAAATGGTGGTAACAGCCTCTCTTATGTGAACCCGGTGGCCACTTCTGCTAACCTGTAGAGGGACGGTGCCAGCTCTGTGCTCAGGGCCAAGCACTGCCAGGGGCACTTCCCTCATTTCTTGGTCTCCACCCCTCCCTCTCCTGGAAGGGAAAGCAAGGAGCCCTGAGTGGGTAGCGTCCCAAAGGTCCTTTCTCTGAAGGCTCCTTAGATACAGCCCTCCACTCCCTCCCCCGCCCCCCCAATCCATCTCCAGATGAAGTTGTAGGAGACTATGTTCTGCTATCCCACCCTCATGCCCTGTCCTGAGGGACAGTGATGCCTTCTGGCGGATGATGAAACCAAGGTGTGTTAGGGGTGGGGGAAGAGGAATCTGTATGTGACTCAATAAAATTGATGACCCCCACAAACACAGAACATCCTTCCTTCCTCTGACCTAACCCACTCTCTAACTACCCTTAAGCCTCAAAGTTCCCAGTGGGCTTAGGGTAGTACTGCTTTGGGGGGAAGAGTTGGAAAGGGAGGGGAGAAGGCTTGAATAGTGGGAGGTTAAGGACCAAGGTAAGCATGCTGATGTCTCTGGAGAAGGGGCAATCTGGAAACTAGATCATCTAGCTCCATCCCCACTTTACAGATGAAGAAAGTGAAGGTACGAACATTTAAAAGATTTGTCCTACCCACTGACAGTGAGTAGGAGTGTTCGAGGGGAGGGAGCTGGATCCTGGAGGGGAATTTGGGGGCAGTATTAGGAGGGAAACAAATGTCTTGGGTTGGGGGGGGATACAAGCCAGAGGTGACTTACTTGAAGGTCAATAAGGAACTTAGAGGTGAAAGCTAAAGACACCATAGGAAGGGATTGAATATGGAGGATGTGTTGTGGCGAGGGAGTCAGGGGCTTTGGAGTGGGGAAAAAGAGATGTTTGGTGTGGTTGAGTGTATTAGCAAAGGACATGAGTCCATGAGGTGGGTGGCTCCTTGATCTGCCCTAGATTAGCTGTTTGACCTGAGTCACTGACCCCCTCCCTTGTGCATTAGTTACTTCATCTATAAAATAAGCAAGTTGGGCTAGACAATCTCTTAAGGTCCATTTCAAGTCTAACTTTCTGTGTTCTATATTCTAAGGGGACTGATTAGCTTTGGCTGGGGGTGGGGAGATGTCAACAGCTGGGCGAGTGGGGTGCTTTATAAGATTGGCAATAATATCTAAGACTACCTGGTGGTGTCAGAAGTCTTGCCTCTCACCCCATTTTTGATGATTCCCAGAAGGAAGGAGTAAACGAAACTGAGAGCCAAGCTCTGTGTCAGAAGGAGCAACCTTGCCTAACCACCTCCCTTCACCTCTTCCTCCCCTCCCCTCAGCCCCAGATGTATTTGGTCTTGTTGGCTCAGCCCATATGGGGGTTTCTTCTCACACCAAGGCAGGCGCAGCCGTTGGTTCCCTGCTTCCCCCCTGGCACAGTGCCAGGGGCAGCTCTATTCTTAGCTGGCTTGGTGTTAAGTAAATCCCAGAGCAGTGATAACAGTAACAGAGTCAACAGAGCTTTGATAAAAGGGGCTGTGTTAGATCCGGGCGCTGGCATGGTACCAGTTCCCTCATTAGTCCCTCCTTGCCTAGTCAGGGACTTCTTCCTCCCCCCCTCCATTTGTGGTGGTTTGGGGTCCATCCTTTTCCTCCCTCTCTCTGTCTCAACTACCCTGGAATAGAGTAGTGGTTCCTGTGCATTAATGCCATCTTGGTTGATGGACCACCCCCTGCCTCTGCCTCCTTAGCTATATCACCCAACTGATGGGCGGATAAGGCTTGAATGCCACTCCCTGTCCAGTCCCGGATGCCCTGCAGCTGGAGTAGTGTGGCCTCTGCTGGTATCCCATCCCAGAGATGTCTCCATTTTGAGTGATGGCACCCTCTGGTGGCTTATCTGTTGCATGGCTCTATTTGTATGGGTGAATATGTAAGGATTGGATGGGTTTGCATTTGAACGCGCTGTGTGTGATGTATGCTGAGTTTGCATTGTGTATATATGTATTGAGTGTGGATGAGCACAGGTACCCTTACATGTCCTCGTTGTGTACACACATGGTGTGTGTACCTGTAAATGTATATGGGTGATAGTTATATGGGTATAGGTACTGTGTGAGTTTGTCACTCCCATAGCTTCTGAGTATCAAGATATTGTAGACAGGTCTCCTCTCCTCACCTTAGGGAAATCTAGTAGAGTGAAAACCCTTCCTTTGGGCACTAGGCCCAGTGGTCATCCAGCTTCCCATGACTCTGACATGAAAGTCCTTATTTTCATCACTATGAACTATGGGAATGGAGTTTTAAAAGGAATGGCTAAGCCTGGGTTGTGTCTGGCATCACCCTTTATTGTTAGAAACTGTGAAAATAACAGCCGATGGAAAAGACCAGAGCATTGCCCATCCACAGGGAGCAAAGGATGGGCATGAAAGATGTTGCCCAGCCTAGTCTGCCATGGGGTACTGGGCCCTGCCCACCAGGGCCCCTGGGAAGACTTGGCACACTGGCATTGGGGAATGGGGAGGACAAAACATGCAGAGGGAAAGGAGAGAAGAGGACATGCAGCTGGGGAGACTGGGATAGCCCCAATAAAACAAGCATGACAGAAAGGGGCCCCAGCTCCTCTCTCCCAGTGGGCACCTACCTGTGGCCCCCTGGGATAGAGTACCTGGGCCCTGCCAGGCTAGAGAAGGTCTTACCAACCTCAAGTTTATGGTGGGGAGGACAGTGTCCATGGGGTAGAGAAGTTAGCAGGGCATCAGTGAGAGATTGGGGGTGGGTGGGTAGTCTTCATTGGGAAGTTTCCCCTAGACCTATACCCCTTACTATAAGCCAGACTGAGAAAATCAGGGTATAGCAGTGAGAGGAGGATATAGTACGCACAGTGCCCATTCTGGGTGACTTGAGTAAGATGCCCAGGCAGGATGGACAAGAAAATGTGAGTTTTTCCTGGGATGTGTAAACTCAAAAGATCCTATGTCTAGGCCAGGAGATAACTGGAAAAAAGTAGAGGGCAGCCCCAGTGCCTAGGAATGAAAGAGGACATACCCATCCCAGGGAAAGCAGAGGGATCAAGATGAAGCCCTAGATGGAAGGGTTACAGGGGGCAGTACCAGGGAGGAACTGGCAGAGATCGGTCAAGGGACAAGGGTAAACTAAGAGGAGATGTGGAAGAAAAGATCCTAAGGAAAGGGGGCCAGGGGAGATGCCTAGCTCTGTGGGAGCCTTGGCCAGGGCTTAGGGCTCATGGAGCGGCTTAGAGAAAATACAGAAGAACAGGACCCACAGCCCCCACCATGTCTGTGGTGCTCAATCCAGCTTGGAGAAGCCCCCAATTGTCACCTTCCTCTCGGGCTTGATACCCACCGGCTCCTGCAGTTGGACCGCGCCACCCCCAATAAAGCAAAAGGCTGGACATACCGGCCCTGAACAGTCCAGCGGGCACTCCAGCAGCCCACGGAAAGACACGGCATCAAGGAAGGAGACCCGGCCCCTCTCGTAGTCCAGACAGATGCCCAGGCGGGGAGGCAGGGGAACTGTGCAGCCAGCCCCAGGCCCATCTCGCCCTGTCAGTCCCGCCCCCCCACTACCACCGGCTCCCAGCAGGATCTTGCCCATGCCAATGGTCAGGAAGGCGAAAGGTGGAGATGCCTCCACAGTGGCATCTTCTGCTCCACTATCATGCCCACTGTCTGGATCGTACCTGGAGAAGGATCCAAAGCAAAGGGATGGACCATGCTCCTCCCCTTTCCATCCCCATTATCTCCTCCTATGTTCTCCTCTTTCCTGTCTCCCCTCCCCCCCCAAAGGATCATAGGATTTATAACTGGAAGGGGCCTTAGAAAGCATCTAGCCCAAGTCCCTCATTTTACAGTTGAAGAAACTTCTCCCAGTGGAGCCAAGATTTGAGCCCAGGCCCCCTTCCCTTTATACTTGTCCCATTCCCGACATTCCTTAGCCTGTTGCCTCAGCCTTGTACCCTGTCACCACCCCCAAGGCCTGGGTTTCTACATTCCTGTGGTGCCAAACTGCTCAGTCCCCTTGTCAGCTCCTCTCTAGCCCTTCTGGGCCCCTGTGCTCCCTCCCACCCACCCCCACTCCCATCCCCTTTTGTGGCCTGACCTGGGGCTGACCACGTCCGGGGCACCCTGGAAATTCTCCTGCAGTTTGCTTTCTAGTCCAACACCCACTTTGACCAGGTAGGAGGCCGGATCCACAGCACAGGCCCAGTAGCTGCGGCCCTGGGTCACAGCCACATCACCCAGGACGATGTCCACGCTCAGATGACAGCCTGTCAGCAGTCGCTCAGCTGCCAGGAGCAGAGGCACCCCTGGTATGCTGCGCACTGCCCGCTGGTCCTTGCTGATGGCCAGCCGCTCTCTGCTAGAACCCCAGCGCCCATCCAGGAAGAAGTGCAGAACTGGGGGAGAGTGGGCAAGATCGGAAGAACAGGAGGAGGGGAAAGCAGGAGGAAAGCACAAGGAGGGGACTCAGGGAATCGTCAGCGCCCAGGGAGTACAAGGTTTTAGCAAGGCAGCAGTCCAAATTCGGGGGGAGCAGGAGGAGGAGTGTCCTCTGGGAGAATGTCCCCTGGATGTCTCCTCATTTCAAGCCAGACTGCTGGGAGTGGAGGAGGGAAGGGACCATAATGGAGTAGCAGGCAAGGTTCTACTGGGCACAATGCCTGAGCTGCATGATTTGGGTGGGATGCTCAAGCAGGGTAGGAAGGGAGAGGAAACCTGGAGGTTTAAGGGGCAGTTGAATGAATTTCTAGGACAGACAGTGGGCCATGAGGAGAAATAGGAATGGGGAGTGGGTATGAAGGTAGAAGGCAAAGGATGGGTGTGGGACCCCAGGAAGAATTATATGGAAAAGTACAAAAGTCATCCCCCCACCCCTGAGCCCCAGGCCCCAACCCCACCTCTGCTGCCTCTCATAATGGATATACTCTTTGAGCCCAATAATTGGTATCCTCTCTCTCTGTTCCATTGCACATATTCCTCCATGGCTAGAGTCCCTGTGTCCATCCCTTAGTTCCTCATTCATTTCTACCTCCAATTTCTTTCCTTTATGCCAATCCCCACAAGCCCATTCCCTAATGCCTTAGTTTTAAACAGCCCTCTAAGATTTACAGAGTCCTTTCACAGCCCTTATCTAGTTTAAACCTTATAACAACATGGTAGTATAGATTGGGTGGCATATGGTAAGATAGGAATTTGTTGGGTTTATTGGTGATCACTTGGGGTGAGGTGTCCAGATCTGTAATTTCACTAGTATAAGAACACCTACCAACCCAGGTTAGACCCATATAGTCCGAGAGTTTCTCAGAGCACTGAGTGGTGAATTACCTGGGATCGCATGGCCACTAGTCATCAGGAATAAAACTGGGGCCTAG